CTTTTTTAAAAGGCTTTTTTTACAATCAAGATTTCATAAGATTGGATTTAAAAGGATTTTAATAGATTTTATAAGATATGAAAGGACAATATGGATTTATAAGATTTTAAAAAATCATAAGAATTTTTAACAAACATTCAATATTACAAGAGTCAATAAAAAAAAAGTAACAAAGAAATGCAATGATATTAATAAAAAAAATAAAATGTAATATAATTTTCTTAATTAGTAAAATTCATGATAAATTTTCATTTGAATTTTTCGGAATTGATCTTATAAACCTTGAGGTTTTTGTTCTACTTGATGAGAGTTTTCTAAACATGCATGTTTTCATTGAGTATTCCAAGAAAATTTCGAATCTAGATTTCTGGATTTTATTACATGAAAGTTTAGAAAAATTTTCAAGTTATTTTCAATCGATACATTGAAATCTTAAATTGCTTTGGGGGTCTTGAAAAACAAGTTTTTAGTGATCTACTGACGCAAAAATTGTTTGAAATCGTTTTCAATAGTGAAGGAATTTCGTTCATGAATGTATTATTATGAAACATAGGGTTCATATTATGAAAGTTTCAATCTTTCTTTAAATCGATATTATTTCATTGATGTAAAATGAAAATTGGTCTGAGGATTTTTGTTCCACTGTTGTTTTCTCACTGTTTTATGTTGTTTCTAATATAAAAATCACATATTTTCGTACCAAGAAAAATCATGACCAATAGCTTGAAAAATCGTTTATAAACTTTCAAAAATTCTCAAAAATTACTCCAAAATTTGCTATTTTTGAGATTTATTTTAGATTAAAATCTTGTTGGGTTGTTGTTTTCTGGGTTATTTTGTGATAAAAATCGCTCAAAAATCTGTAATTTTTTAGCTTTAACGAAACTCCTATGGCGAAACTCGATTTCGAGCGGGTCGACCCACCAAAGAAAGAAGAAGACATTACAATAGAGAAATGTTAAGAAATCCTAGGGGTTAGGATAAGATTGTGAGAGAGACATCCTATTTATATTTTTCACTAAAAAGTCTCACGAAACCGACACAAATAGAAAATTCATTAAAATTGTAAGATTTTTGAATATCACAAGATTATTTTTCCTTTATTTAAAATCATGATTGAATACCAACAGATTTGGACGGACTCTAAAATAATCTTTTAAAATCCTGATCGAATACCACATGACTTTTTTTCAATTCTTTAAATTCTTAATTGAATACTAATGGATTTTTTTGTCCAAAAATTATCTATTAAAATTCTTTGAAATTCGAATCTAATACACCCGCTAAGTGTGAAGAGAGTGGCTATGTAGGTTTTTGTGAGAAATGAGAGGATTAAAGTGTATCTTGGCTATTTAATACATTTATCACTTAAGACTAGGGTTGGCAAAACGGGCCAACCCGGCTCGACCCGGCCCAACCCGCATTCAACCCGTAAAAATCGGGTCGGGTTAGGGTTGGCTCGAAAAAATAAACGAGCCAGAAAACTCAACCCAGCCCAACCCGAGCCGGGTTAGGGTTGGCTCGCGGGTTGGCTCGATAATCAGCTCGCGGGTTGGCTCGGAAAAAAGCTCGCGGGTTGGCTCTAGGAGAAGGAAGAAGATTCTGAAGAAGAGAAAAAATTCTAAGTGTTGAGCGCTAAAACGTTCATCCAGAACGTTTTAGCGCCCTGCTACAGAAAGAAGCCAAAAGATGCTGGTCTGGAGCGCTAAAACGTCCATCCAGAACGTTTTAGCGCGCTGCTGCACGTCAAAGCCAGAAATATGCAGGTCTTCAGCGTTAAAACGTTAAAGCTCAAACGTTTTAGCGCCCTGATGCTGGAAAAGGATTCTGGTCTTCAGCGTTAAAAAGCTCAAACCAAACGTTTTATTTTTTTTAATTTAAAAAAAATACCCAGCCCGCGAGCTGGCCCGTTTAACCCGAGGGTTGGCTCGTTTGGGTTAGGGTTGTATCGGGTCGGGTTGTATCGGGTTGGCAGCTCATTTAGGCCAACCCAACCCGACTCATTTAGGACGGGTTGCGAGCCAACCCGTCGGGTTGGCTCGTTTTTGCCAACCCTACTTAAGACACTCGATATTAGCTCTAAGACGTCTGTTCATTATTTTTCTTCCAAATTTTATTTTTAATTTAGTAATTTTTCTAGAAATATTAATATTTTAATTTTAATTTTAATTTTTGAAATTATTTCGCCTATACGCATTTATACTGCGAAATATTCGGTATTCACACTTTTTTCTTTCTAAGAGTAACTTAATATTAATTATTATAATTTTTTATAATGATCCTAATTCAATTATGAAATATTTCTTAATTTTACATTTAAATTATTAAAACTTTTAATTTAATGATACAGATTTTTCCATAAAATGCAGTCATGGTACCTCCTAGTAAAATAGCACCATGTGTTTCGCAAGGTTGCAAATAAAATTGTCATAACACGTCTTACAAAACAAACAAGAAGTAGTTTCCATCACGCATTCATACTTGAGTTATGGAATTAAAAATCATAAAAGATGAAGTTCAAAAAACCTCATTGGCAGGCTACGAATAAAGAGCATCACCTAATTGGTCATCGTCCTCTTTGTGGGTTCCACTTCTACCCAATCTTTCTCTGAATCATGTTGATATTAAATAAAACATCATAAAAAGGAGAGCTCAAGTCAGAAAAACCTCATTGGCAGACGAGGAATAAATAGCATCACCTACTTGGTCACCGCCCTTTTTAATAAGTTCCACTCTCACCCGCGTCATCTACCTTTTTCAAAAAATGGAAAACGTCATTTACATTGTTATTTTTAAGAAAAATACTACTTTTGTTTTAGGGAAAACTTCATTTTCACATACTGATTTTGTGTTTTATCATTTGACCTCTTGTGATTTTAAACTTATCAGTAGACCCATTGTGCTGAGATATTTTGTCATTCAACCTCCTATGATTTCAAATTTTCACTTAGACCCCTTGTGATTACAAAAAAATTCACTTAGAAACCTTGTGATTTAAAAAATAAATATTTTAAAAAATAATTTTTTTCTCTTTTATTTTATATCCTCATGTAGTAAATGCATTTTCAGTTTAAAAAATATTTCAAGTTATTTATTCTGAAATTAATTTATAAATTGTCTTAATTTTTTTAAAATATATTTGAAATTAAAAAATATTATTTAAGATAAATTAAAGATATATCATCAAAATAAGATATTTATTTTCTTTAGGTAATTTTATAACGATATCGGGTAAAAAATAAATAAAATAAATTAATATTTGATTTGAATTTATTTTCTTGATAAAAATAAGTGAATTTTTTAAACCTTAAATGCATTAGGTGATGATATAAAAAAAGAGACAGAACATTTATTTTAAATATTTTTTTTTTTAAAAAAATCCAAAAAAAAAAAAATATTTATTTTTTAAAATTTTTATATTTATAATCACAAGGGGTTTAAGTGAAATTTTTCTAACTACAAGGTATTTAAGTGAAAATTTGAAACCACGAGGGGTTAAATGAAAAATTATTTAATCACAATGGATCTAAGCGATAAGTTTAAAACCACATGGAGTCAAATGATAAATCACAAAATCACAATGGGTGAAAATGAAATTTTTCCTTTATTTTACATAAAAATAAGAAAAAATTTCAAAAACCCCTGTAACTTTTCTTATAATTATTTACCCCCTCCTCAAAATTTTGAATCATTTATTTTCTTGACTTAAATTTTTTTTATCACCTATCCCCTGAGTGAGGGCGTAAGTGAAAAAAAACTTTAAATCAAGGGGATAAGTGATAAAAAAAAAATTTAAATACGGATGTAAATGATTCAAAAAATTTATGAGAGGGATAAGTGATAATTAAAAAAATTCATAAGAGGGTTTTTAAAGTTTTTCCTAAAAATAATTCTCTTATATTATAGAGAAAAGTCATGTGGAGCCCCCAAGTAAAGTAAGAAAGAAGAGGAGAGGAATAAGATGTTTGAAGTGACAGAACATGAAATAACTATCTTATAAAATAAAAATAGTAATTCTCTATTCTAATAGTTAATTCTTTTTATATATAATGGTTTAATTTATTATATATATAAATTGTTAGATCCATACCGATCAATACCTAAAATTGAATATAAAATATTTTATTTATAAATCAATGTAAGTTAATAATTTTTTATATAAATATAAAGTACGTGAGACTTATATTTTTCTCTTCTCTTCTTTCTTTTCACATGACTTCGTATACTTTTATATGAGTAAGAAATAAAATTATCTCATATAATACGAAAAATAATTAACTTTCTATAAGTATTACATTAATTATTAAGATTTCATTTGTAATCTAATAATTTTAAGATATTAATTATGTAAAGCGTTAATTATTACATCAATACATGGGTTGATTTGATTCTACCTTTTGGAAATATTAAATAAATAAAATTAGAAAAAATATTTATCTTTTTAAATGATATAACTTATGTCATTTCATTTTTATAATGAAGTAGGACCCACACTTTTATTTATGAGTTTACTTTTTTTGCATTTACTGCAGATAAGTTATCTGCAGTAAGTCCAATACGACGTCGTTTTGGGCGAAAATCATGGTGTTTTTGTAATTTTAATTTATTTCAGGATTATAATAGTCTTTATATTTATAATTTTTTAAGATTTCAATACCAAAACGACGTTATTTTAGGAACAAATACAGATAACTTATCTACATTAACTGCAGAAATATTTTTTTCTTTATTTTTTTTTTAACTTTCTCTCTCATTCATGATCTTTTCACTTAAATTAATACAATTTTACATGCTTTAAAATAACACATCTTTTCGAAAAAATCATATAGAAATAATTCCATCGAAATTGATAAATATAACTGAATCCACATTTTCTTACGCACGCGCAATATAATTTCACACATCAGAGGGAATATTCCGAATGCGATCTCTCGTCTCTCTTTCTTTCTTAAATAGCCTCCCTCTCACGTCACGTTGCGCCATTATTATCTCTCACAGGTTACTGTTACACAGGGAAACGCATTTTTTTTTGTCTTTTCTCTTCGTCACATTTCATTTTCCTTCGAATCGCAACTCACACTTTTTTGCTTTTCTTCGGAATCCACATTTCCCCATTCATTTCCCTTCTTCGAAATCCCCCCCTTTTCCCGTCATCTCGGCAAAAGGGGGAACACAAGAATTTCTGATTTACATTCGATTTTCCTCATTGGTTCCTCGCAATTCACCATGATTCCCATGAGGCTTTTCCTGGTACTATTTTCCCTGTTCCCCGTATCATTTTCTCTCGAGAATCTCAATTCCCATGACCATAATCTTCTCCTTCAGATGCCAACAATCGTCGAATATCCGGAATTCGAGGAGGAACTGAAGTTGAGGTGTACGAGCTGGAGATTCGCGGTGGAAGCGAACAATCTGAGTCCGTGGAAGACGATTCCTGAAGAATGCGCTGAGTATGTGAAGGAATACATGATGGGGAAGGGTTACGTTCTTGATCTGGAAACGGTTTCCAAGGAAGCTGGGGAATATGCAAAGAGTGTAGAACTGCGTGGTGATGGCAAGGATGTGTGGATTTTCGACATTGATGAGACCCTTCTCTCCAATTTGCCTTATTATGCTGCACACGGATACGGGTAATTTAGAAAAACTTTTAGTACTTTTTGTTTGGATCATCTTATAAATTGCATTCCGAAAATGGTTATAATTATAATGCTGTTGCATAGGCACCTTTTTTGGCTGAAAAGTTATTTGGATCGAATCACTTTTCATATAAAGTGTTATTAATTATTATTAACTAATTAGAAGAAAGATAGGTATTTGAGTCAAAATAATAAAAGTTATTCTGTAAATACAGTACTATTCGGAGTGAGAAATTTTATGATTCTGTTTGTCTCACGGATTTTTTTTTTTTTGCTTTTAAAAAAAATTAAATTAAAACCCAAATTATGTGCTTAATCGTCCCTAGTTCTCTTTGGATTATGTTGGAGCTTAAAATTTGGGTATGGATTAAGATACAATCCAGGGTTTTTTTTTTTTTTTTGGGCTTAGTTCTTACACCAAAATTAGCTTTTTAAGCCAAAAGTTTAGTTTTGATCTCACAGGGAGGGGTTAGTCAGGTATTCATGTTTTTTCCTTAGGTATTGGTTACCTGTTTAGGTTTTGATCCGCTTTCTTTTGTACTGTGGCTGCCTCCCTCCTGTTCATGAGCAGGACTCCATTCCATTCCCTATTATATCCTCAAGGATTCCCACTAGTGGTATAGGATCAGTCCATCCTGTTCATGAGATGGACTCTGATCAGTCCATCTTCTCTCATCTCTTTGCCCTTAGTGGTATAGGATCTCCAGACAACCAATAAATGTTTCAAAATCATCCAGGATACTGGTACGCTGGAAAGTGGGAAGAGGGTTACTATAGCAACTCCCCTGTTTTGATTTGAGATTTTCTGATCACAATATGGACTTTTTGTTACTTGCGATAATCTTTCTTTAATATGCTTAGGTAACTGGAGTTATTAGACTTTGGCGTAATAAGTAGAATCTGTTTTATTTATTTATCAAACTAACGGGAATTCACTAAATTTCATCATTAATATCTTATAGTATAGCACTCGGTTCTAGAACTTTTTTGTTATCATTGTATAAGATATCAAGCGCAGTTACAATCAAGTAATTGAATTAAAATCACGGATAAATTTTTCTTTACAACACGAAAAGTAACATACTACTCCACAATCATAGAAAGTAATGATTACTTGCTCTCAAGTAATCGATTACTACTGCCCAAAAAGTAATTGATTACTTCCTGAAAGTAATCGATTACTTTCAAGACAGTGGCTAAAAATTGGTTTCTGCCAGGGAAGTAATCGATTACCTATATGATTACTCCCTGGACAAAGAGCATAACAACCTTGTTTTGCTACATAATGGGGTTTTTAACCCCCTCCAAGTCCATAGCATAACCTAATTGACATTTGTACATAGTTTATGATATTATTAGCCATCTCAAGGCTTTAAATCTAAGATCCATCCATGGACTAACTTAAAACATACTTAACTTTAATCGTGCTATGATACTTATCATTATGGATATCTCATCTAATCACCTTGCATTCTATTTGCTTAGGCTTATATTCTCATATGTTGTATTCCAAGCTAAACATAAAACATACATATTCTTAGATATTTTGCAACATGATATTCATCCTTGTGAATATTTTCTTTCATAACATACATATAAGTAATTGTCCAATTACATACATCATTATCTTTGAACATAAACACAAATCATCTAAATCATAAGATTACATGATCCAAATACATTGTCCTCTATAACCAATATACATAATTTGAATCATGCCAAAGTAAACATAGCCTTCATCTAGGCCTCAAAATACATCTCATGTGCATAATCATAATAAAACTGTTTATATGATACATATACATAAAAAATGTAAACAGTGATCATCATATGCCAAACATCATGCTATGGATGGCCTCTTGCCCTGGGATACTCCATCTTCATTTGTGAAAGTACCTGAAATATATTCCCTACAACACGGGGTGAGATAAAAATCTCAGTAAACTAATGGTCCTTGGAGGATCACTCCACCCTATAATTCACGTACTGTACAAGAATGATAATAGAACATAGCAAACATACTTCATATCATAATCCAAGGAACTTCTAAGAGCTTCTTTGTCTCTTAGATTGTTAATCTCATGAAGGTCATAATACCATACCCATGGAAAATTCCTCTCTAGTATAGTCCTTTCATGAGCTCCTCTATCTCATAGGCTCTACCCTCATGGAGGTCATACTACCATACCCATGAAAAGGCCATACATGCAAACTCATGGAGGTCATACTACCATACCTATGAAAAGCATTCACATTCATACATATATAAGTCTACTGTCATACATTTTGTCATGTATTCTGTCATTCATTCATCATAAACATATTCTCAATCATTGCATCATACATCTCAAAATGCAATCTACCGTGTCATGCTACTAGCATGCACAACTATCAATCAATCATTCCTCCCAAAGGAGCATTCTAGAACACACAAGGGGATTGACCTCAAGGTCCAGAAGTTTACCTCTTTTGTAGACTTCCGTAAATTGCTCTTCTCTGCTATAAGAGCCTCAACCACAATCAACCACACAAAGCAACTTATGGCATAATGTGGAAATGTGATTAATCATTCATACAACACATGAATCACTATGTCATTGGCTAGAATCTACTGTTGGATATTAATCTCATGACTTTTACCTCTTTGGTAAAAATTAAACTTGATCTTGAACAATTGTTGATTCCAATGGGTGTTCCTCAACCACAATGGCTCTAGGATCAACACTATAACATGAAACAACACCAAACAACCATCAGACACCATTTTCAAGCAATAAACATCATGAAACTCAACTCTTTTTTCATGAAATTTTTTCAAGGTTGTCCAAATGGTGATTTCTTTAGTTTTCCTTTATCAAGAACCAATTCTAAGCATGTTCTACAAAGGAAATCATATCCAAATCAACCTTTAACTACTCACACCATGAATTTTCGAGTTTACTATTCATAGAAACCTAGATTTATGAAAAATTCATGAAAACACGTAATGAGTAGTGAAATCTGACCACAATCCACCTTAGAATAAGGGAGAAGAAGTTTCCAAGTCTTGATGAACTCAAACACCCTCCAAAACTCAAAACTCTAAAATTTCCCCAACACTTTGTATGAGAAAATCAACCTCCACCAAACTTCTTGATGGAATCTAAGGTGTGGGCTTTACTCTTGGGATGATTCTACACAAGTTTGGTTTTGGATTCAAGTAATTTCATTAAGTGTAGCTCAAATGGTGTTTCAAGCTCACTTTCTCTCTTGCAAATGGCCACTCACGGCTTCATGAAGAAGACCCGAGGATGTTGTGTTTTGGAGACTAATGACTTGTGTTTTTTTCTCACTTAAAGGGTCTTAACATTGTGTTGACCAAAGTCAACAACTTAGTCTTAGTAAAATTCTCATTTAGTCTTTCATTCTTAACCTTTTCTAGCCAATACTTAGTATTTCTAAACATGTATTTTTATCTCATAAATTAGCCTCTCATTGTTGAGATATATAAAACCATTAAAAAGGGGGCGTGTTAGAGAATAATATAAACCATTAAAAAGCCCTCACCCACCAGCTTAAGCTTTTGGGTTGAATTGATTCTTTACATGGTATTAGAGCCTCGGTGTACCGGGTTCGATCCTCACCGCCCCCCACTTTCTTTCTAGTGGAATTTCTTTCTTCGCACAGGTAGGTGAGCCTGTGCATTGTCCACCTTTCAAGCCCAGTGGGCTCTCGTGTGATAGGGCGTGTTGAGATAAATAAAACCATTAATGTAGCCTCACCCAATAGTTTAAGCTTTTGGGTTGAATTGGTTTTTTACATGGTATCAGAGCCTCGTGTCCCGGGTTTGATCCTCACCGCCCCCACTTTCTCTTGTGGAATTTCTTAGCACAGGTAGGTGGGCCTGTGCATTGTCCACCCTTCAAGCTCAGTGGGCTCTCGTGTGAGGGGGCGTCTTGAGATATATAAAATAATTAAAAAGCCCTCACCCACCAGCTTAAACTTTTGGGTTGAATTGGTTCTTTACACTCATTAATTTATTTACATGTTTCAGGTAAATTCTGGTATTTTACCTCAAAACTATCTGTAATTGCACTTTTATCTGAAAGTGACTTAATTTCTAATAATTTGATTTCTGATCTAATTATTAACTGATAAATTATGAAAAATTCCTAATTTCTCATTTTACTGGTTTGGATTATTATTGATAGACTTTGTATCTGATGTAAGCTCTTTGTATGTGCTTGCAGGTTGGAGGTTTTTGACCATGGGAAGTTTGACAAATGGGTGGAGAAGGGTATAGCTCCGCCCATAGAACCCAGTTTAAAACTCTATGAAGATGTTTTGAATCTGGGATTCAAGGTTATTCTACTGACTGGACGGAGTGAAAGGCACAGGAGTGTTACCGTTGATAATTTGATCAATGCTGGGTTTCGGGATTGGCACCAGCTCATATTAAGGTAATTCCTTAAAAAATTGTTAACATGAGGACAGCGGATGAAGTTTGTATGTTAAATGCTGAGATTGGAAAGCGTTCCTGTATGTTTTGCGATCTGCTCTGCTTTACATAATCATCGTAAGTTAATACTTTTGTGATGTAGATAGTTATTTTGTGTTTAAACAATCAAATCATTCATATAATGCTTCAGCCCCTTTCCACATCATTCTTCACTTCCCTCTCACTTCTAATAACTCCAACAGAATTGCCCTGCAAAACTTCCTCTAGAATATTCTGTCCTACGTCAGCACCAACCCCAATTGCTCCTCTATTCCTCTTCCTAGAATAAACTCTTAACAGCATTGTATCAATACTTCCCCCCCCCCCCCCCCCCCCCCCCCCCCCCCCCCCCCCCCCCCCCCCCCCCATGGCTTAAATTGTAAGAGCCAACTTATGCTCAATGTGTGATAACACTCATCGGGATCCCATTGCCTATCTCCAATCCCAGCTAATGGTTCCATGAGATAACATGCAGCAACCGGAAGACCCCTTAATGCAGAATTTTGAAGTAAAATCTTCTCAAGTATCGCAATCAATTCACAGGACAGATCAACTGTCATGGAGGCTTTACCAAGATAGTTGTTCTTTTTGAATTTGCACTATCTTGAATACCACTAGTATTTTTAGCTTCGCCATCGGATGTCAAATAGATCTTATTCTTCAATATAACTTCAAGTAAATTATTGCTTAATAGAATCCAAATATGTTTTTCCAAAATTTCTTGAATCACATACCTCACGTTCTCATCACGTAGCCTTCTAGCAAATAACCTATAGTCTCTATTATTTTGTCTGTGCTCCCATCATTCCTTCAAGGGTTTGGCCATTTTTCTCACTCCAGCAAGGGCTTGCATCACAAATTGACCCAATTCCAATTCTGACCTCACTTCCTTCTGCATTGCTGGTTGTCGCCTCATGTAGTTTGGTCTCTCGTACCCATCTTCAGCAGTCATCAACCATGGACCCATGCTGGCCACAGTGTCCTTAAAGGTTAGTCTCTCCTCGTCAAGCATGAAACAAAGACCATCACTTCTTCGGCCATGAAGGTTCCCAGTCTGAATGCCTTCTGCACTGGGGTTTCCCAGCCCAAGTCCCAATTTCCCACTCCGAATGACTTCTGCACTGGTACCTGGTTCAAATAATGCTTCAGCCCCTTGCCACGTCATTCTTCACTTCCCTCTCACTTCTAACAACTCCAACAGAATTGCCCTCCAAAACTTCCTCTAGAATATTTTGTCCCACATCAGCACCAACCCCAATTGCTCCTCTCTTCCTCTTCCTAGAATAAACTCTTAACGGCACCGTATCAAAATGCCTCAAGTGTTATTTGTGATAGAAAGGTGTCTCAAAAGCTTAAAGGAAAATTTCGCTGCACAGTTTTAAGACCTGCGATGCTGTATGGTATTGGATGTTGGTTGGTGAAGAGCCAAGAAGAGCACAAGCTCAGTGTTGCAGAGAGGAAGATGTTGCGGTGGATTAGTTGACTTACAAGACAAGATAGGATCAAGAATGAATGCATTAGATAAAAAGTAGAGGTAGCACTTACTGAGGACAAGATGATATATTCTTGGCTAAGGTGGTTTGCTCATGTGAGAAGATGACCAATAGAAGCCTCAGTAAGAGTAGATTAGGTGAAGTATAGCCCTATACTTAGAGGTAGAGAGAGACTGAAAAAAACTCCGTGGAACCATGATAAAGGGATTAGACTTATATGGATTTTTTCAGGATTTGGTTAATGACATGAACACAACGGCATTGTTTGATCTGAGTAGCTGACCGCACCTAGTTGGAAGGGCTTAGGTTGTTGTTGTATGCTAGGATAATTGAAGTTTCTTTGGCTTCTTGTTTTTAAATTTTGTGGAAATGGTACTTTATTAATTTTGACTTTTAATTTTAAATGAGCACAACTGTGGCTAGGGTCTTGTCTTGTAGTTTCCCATTATTTTGAGATGATGTTCCTCTTCATTGATTTATGACGTATGGCCCATATTTTTCTTTTCATTTGAATCATATGCCTTTAATATATGTTATTTTTATCTCTGCCGATTCTGTATGGTTTGCCTTCATGTGAGTTTTTGGATTAGACCATCACTGTTGCTGTTAATAAACTAACCTGTTTTAAAATAAATGAAAAATGAAAAATAAAATAAAATTGAGAGAGAATAATAAATTTTAGGCCTTTATTCTACTTTAGCATCTCCCACACTATTTACATTCCTTATTTCCTTTCTAAGAAATTCATTTTCAGAATTCCATAGTCTTTTCTGTTGTTCTGAGCTGGCATAGATCTCTAGTCAGTTCTTTATGAATACTGAAATTTTGTTAAAAGTGAATTGATCACTCACTTAGTTTTGATGGATGAATTTGCATTTATATGTGGATATTAGAAAGAGGGTGAGCCTGAAGTAGTGGTAAAACTGCTCCTATGTGAGTGACTGAGAAGTCACGAGTTCGAATTTGAGAAATAGTCTCTTTACAAATATTGAAAGGTACGGCTGTGGATTGCTCTCACCTCGACCATTACCAATCAAGGTTTAATGGGGAGTAATTTGATGGAGATACCGGAAATTTAACCCAATATTTTAGAATTTTGAACCACAGGATAGGGTAGGTTTGAATACCAGATTTTAATTAAATCTGTCATGTTTGCTAATCATACGACTGGACTGATTTCCACTTTGTTAATAAACAACACATGGAAATTAGATGCCTTGAACTCAGTGAATCTTGATCCAATATAATAGAAGAGAGTTTTTATGGTAGAGAAGGCAACTTACTTGGTGGTTGTCTTTAGATTAGTAAATGTAATAACTACATCTGGTTACACCAGTAATCTGGAGTCTTTTTTTTTTTTTGGTGAATGTAATCTGGAGTCTTACACTTCGTATTTTGGCGCCAAAGCCAGTTACTGTAGGCCTGATTGTAGCTGTATGGAATGTGGTTTATGTTTAAAGAATCTAACTTCTTTTTTGTTATCATGATATTTAGTCATTAATTTTGACTTATTCAGTTACTCAGTTAATTTATTCCCTTGCTTTTACCTTTTCTTTCTCCATATCCTTTATGCTATAGATGCAAGGTAAAAGCTTCTACTTGGATAAATTTTCCTTGTCTCGTGATCATATACAATTTTAGGATCGTCATGCTTGTATTTTGCGCTCTGAATCTATGTTTCTTTTCTGCTGAACTTTCTTAACCTGTTATGTTACAATGTTCAGAGCCTCAGAAGATCATGCGAAATTAGCTACAATTTACAAATCGGAGAAGAGGAGTGAGATGGAGAAAGATGGATACAGGATTCTTGGAAATTCCGGTGACCAGTGGAGTGATTTATTAGGTTCTTCACTGTCTGTTCGGTCCTTCAAGCTTCCAAATCCCATGTATTACATCGCTTAGTAGTGGTTCATTTATTTGCAAATAATGCTGTCTGAATTGTACATAATGAAACTGACGAATTCATATACTGCACATGCCATTGAAAATGGAAACTCCATTCTGTACCGATTCAATTAAACTTTTGTTGTTAAAATTCATAGCATGTCAAGTTTTTAACTATGGTGCACTGGTATTTTCTGTACACTAGTACACATAAGCATTGAATTGGACCCTATCAGGCTATCACCAGGTGGCATGCCTTGGGATAGACTAGAAGTACTATCCTCTTATTAACAATCACGGTGATCGTGATCGTTATTGTCAAAAACTAGTGTAAAAACGTAGAAACGTAAAAATGGTAGGAATATAGTGTAAAAATGTGTTAAAACACAAGTAACAACGGTCCTTAGTAAAATTGGATAAAATTGCTGTGTAAAAATGATAGAAACGCAAGCTTTTACGTTTTTTACTTAAACTCAATTTTTTTTTTATTTTAAAAAAAAAAAATCCTATTTTCATTTTTTTAAACTTAGTTTCCTATATTTTGTGTTTTTGGACTTATAACTTATATAATTATGTGACTTACATCTTTCAAATATGAAATTCTTCATTAAATATTTAATAATGAATTATGTGATTTTTGTTTTTACACACACACACATATATATAGGGATAGGATCAATTTACACCAGTGTAAGAATAATAATTCTTATTTCAGATCTTAACCGTTGATTTTTGTGTATCTAACGGTTAAGATTTAATGGGAATTAATGATTGATTAATTAATGAGACACAATAAATCTTAACCGTTAGATGAACGTAAATCAACGGTTAAGATCTGGTGTAAGACTCATTATTCTTATACTGGTATAAGATGATTCTGACCCTATATATATATATATATATATATATATATATATATATATATATAGGGATAAGATCATTTTACACCGGTGTAAGAATAATAAATCTTACAACAAATCTTAACCGTTGATTTCCGTGCATCCAATGGTTGAGATTTATTGGGAATTAAAAATTAATTAATGAGTGAGACCTAATAAATCTTAACCGTTAGATGTAGAAAATCAATGGTTAAGATTTGGTGTAAGATTTATTATTCTTACACCGGTGTAAGATGATCTTGCCCCATATATATATATATATATATATATGGGATAGGTTATTGTGCCTACTCCTATTTTACCTACTTTTGCCTACCCCTTTCGTTACCGTTCGATTACCATCTCATCCAACGATCCATATTTGTGATATAAAATAAACTTTTTTTTCCCTTTTTTTTCTTCTCACTTTCTTCCATACCTTTTCTCTCTCCTCCCCTTTCTCTCTTCCTCTGCCATATACCTAATTTTTTTCCCTTCTGCCGTCGTGGACCTCAATCTCTTGACAAACTGTTCGATTCTAATGATATTTTTAATCCTTATAAATTAATACGATTGAATCGATGACTAACAAAGAAGTTTTGATGTGATTCAAAGCGGTGGTGCCACAAGGTCGATCTGTTCACAGAATCCTCCTTGTCTCTGCTTCAATATGTCGATCTGTTCTTCCACATGATAGATACTCTTAATTTCTAATAATTAATTGGCTATCTGTATCCACATAATTGCTGGAATGGCACCAATTAACCCTCTTTCCAGATTTTTCCAATATCAATTTTTTTTATTCTTTAATTTTTTTTATTTTTTTTGAATCTTTTCCAACTCTGCACAGATCTTTTGAATCACATTAAAACTTCTTTGTTAGTCATCGATTCAATCTTATTAATTTATAAAATTTATGTTGTTCTTCAGATCTAAAAACTTGTTGTGATTTTTCAATCCATTGACACTGATAATTTGATAGAAACTGATTCAGAAGGAGAAAATTTACATTACAATAATAAAAACAGAGACTAATGTATATTGACGATGATTTCAAATGCTGTGGTAATTGATTTCAAATGCTTCTGCGCCGTTCACCTGGGCAGAGATTAACGATAAAGGAAAAAAAATAGGTATATGGCAGCAGAGGAAGAGAGAAAGGGGAGGAGAGAGAAAGGGTATGAGAGAGAGTGAGAAGAAAGAAAGGAAAAAAAAAAGGTTTATTTTATATCACAAATATGGATCGTTGGATGAGATGGTAATCGAACGGTAACGAAAGGGGTAGGCAAAAGTAGGTAAAATAGGAGTAGGCACAATAACCTATCCCTATATATATATATATATATATATATATATATATATATATATATATATTTTTGTATTTTACCTTTAAGTAGTAAAAACTTTACGTTTCGTGTTATTTCTATACAGGTAGGATCCTTTGACACCAGTGTCAAATTTTAAATTTGACACCTCATCCGAGAGCCGTTAGATCAAAAAAGATCAACGACTCTGATTTGTAAGCATTTGATACCATTGATCTTTTTTGATCTAACAACTTTCAGACGAGGTGTCAAATTTGAATTCTGACACCGGTGTCAAAGGATTCTACTTCATTTCTATAATTTACATTTCTACTACCTCATTCTGTTTTTACGTAGAAACTCGATTTTGACAATACTGAGAGTGATCGTGATCTCGAAGAAACATAGTCAACAGATATAACCTAATAAGGTTTTATATAATATTATTGGATTGGTTAATTTAAAATGTGATTTCAATCCAATTTAGTCAAGCTTAAATCACTTTAGATTTGATCATTTTTTATTAATTTTTTTTATAGAAATAGAATTTTATCAAAATACATGGAATATAAGTCTAAGTTATTTGGTCAAAATATACTAAATATAAGTTTGGATAAATTATAATTTAACACCCTATACTTGGACTGCTCTTCAGAAAACCACCTTATACTTTTAATTGAAACAGTAAGCCCCTCAAACTATGTCATTAATGCAATTAAGCATATCTGTTAAGAAAACATGTAATTCGTTTAACTCTAACGTGATGAAATATTTTTTTTTTTTTTTTTTTAAATAAGATGAAATATTTTTCACCAAGTCCTTCTTTTCCTTTCCAAAAAACAGAAACTGTTCATGTTTCAATTTCTTCATCACCATGTCATTCTTATGAGGGTTCACTCAGCATCTAATTTTTCCTCTAAAAAAAATCATTATTCTTCGCTCTCATTCTCTTCTTCCTTTTCTGTTTTGACTCCCAATGGTTTGTGTTGGAGTGTGCCACAGTTAGCTAGGGAAATATTAAACCCACCTTAATTTTCTGCCATCATAACATTCTCTATCTTTCTCAATCAGGCATTTATTTTTTATTGAAATTAAATAACTTTAAATTATGCATTTTGGAGATCCTATCTTCCAATCATTTAGAAGAGTAGAGAAAGACAACGGAGAAGATACATACGATATCAAAGAAAAATCCTAAGAACATGGTTTTGGTTGTTGAGCATGGAAGAATACAACCATTAGTGCAACTGTTGTCTTATCCAGATTCAAATATACACAAGCATGCTGTGACAACACTTTTAAATTTATCAATTGATGAGGTTAACAAAAACTGAAAAATATTTTTGCACTTACTGCAAATAAATTATCTGCATTTACTCCTAAAATGACGTCGTTTTGAGATTGAAATATTAAAAAAAATTATAAAGATTATAATTAATAATCCTGAAATAAATAAAATTACAAAAATACCATGATTTTCGTCCTCAAAATAACGTCGTATTGGACTTATTGCAGATAACTTATCTGCAGTAACTTTATCTGAAGTAACTGCAGAAAAAGCGAACCCTAATAAAAAAAAACCAATATCTAAAGAAGGAGAAATATTTGCATGATCCAGGCTCATAGAACGTATAAATGGTCCCTCTCACATGTAAAGGATAGAAAAGAAAAACAAAAAAAAAAGTAGGGATAAAATGGTCCAAACATTTTTTTGACTGTGAGTGGTACTAGGGAAAGTTAACATGTGCCGGGATCATGTTAACTTTTTCCCTAAAGAAGGGTCTATTCCATCTATTATAGCAATGTTGGAGAATAAGAGTGTTGTGGCTAAAGAAAATTCTGCAACAGCTATATTTAGCTCATCAATGCTTGATTAGAATAAAGAGTTTGTGGGTGCATCAAAATTGATTCCCCCTTTAGTAAAAATATTACATAATGGGATAGTTAAAGGAAAGAAAGACATTGTTATAGCTCTCAATAACTTGTCTCTTAGCCATGCAAATAAAGGTAGGACCAATAGTGCTAGCAATGTGACACCCTTGAATTGCTCAAGGACATAAACTTAGGCATGATTGATGAAGCCCTCTGCATTCTGTTAGTCCTTGTATCAAAATCTAGAAGGAAGGCAAGAGACTGGACAACTCTCCTTCATTGAAACTCTTGTTAAGTTGTTCCGAGAAGGAATCCTTAAGAACTAGGAATGTGTAGCATCTGTTCTTCTTAAGTTGTGTCCAAATAATTCATTCTTTATATTGGCGGCACTTTAATTGAGATCAAATAAGAGTAATGGGGATAAAAATATTATTCCTTGAAGCTAGGCCATAAAAAACAATTGAGACTTAAAGATTTCTATAGCCGTATTGGATTTGCATTTATTCTTATATACTATAAAGAATTTTTATGTCTAGTGTGACAGACTAATTTAATAATGATTAATGTATTTGATGAGTTTTATTATATTAAAATAATCTTCAAAAAGAAAAGACTCTGATACAAATTATATGCTTGTCTGATATCTCCTATATACTTCAGAATGCACAGCCTCAGATTGAGCGGTCTGACAAAGGACGGGTCATGCACCTCTTTATTTCTCCAAAACCATAGATACCAGATGGTCACTATGAAAATATCCAGCCAGTCACATTGCTGAAAGTGAGGCCAACCCTTGGCTATGCAATAATAAATCCACTTCTCCTGAGGCAAACTTAGAAACTAATGAGGAAGCCCTCTAGGAAACCAGCTCTTCCAAGTATGCATTGCCTTCTTGCAGTCCCTTAGAACATGGATCACATTTTCAGTCTTGTCCAAACACGCATGGCAGAGAAGGGGGATCCACCCCCACCCCAAGATGCGGTAACTTCTTTAGTAAGGATTCGCCCACAGAAACACCGTCACTAGCAGGGATAAGAAAAGATTTGATATGTTGAATAACATTATCAGGCAGGGCTCTTATAAGAAGATCAAAACACCAATCACCAGTATTTACATCCACCAAATCCGCGACTTTTGGCCTCCAGATTAATGGAGAAGAAGTTATCAACATAGAACTCGCTAAGAGGGCCATCCAGCAAGGTTCAAGGGTCTTTCTAAAAATTAATATCCTTACCATTACTTATTTTCCAGTGCAGACAGCCAAGGAAATCCTTCCAAATACGACACAGACCTTTCCAAAGGTTGGAGTCATATTGCTGAAAAGAAGCATGCCTTTTGAGATCCAGACCCCTCTCATACAATACTGTGACATGTATTGCTTTATGACTAACGTCTCGACTGTTCTTCAAGATGTACTCCCAATAATTTTCTTTTTGTGAGTTTGAAGTTTATGTATATTTTAAATTATTACATTTATATAATTTATTTGTATATATTATTTATTGATATTAAAAAGGATTTTCTATTTGTAGTTTCTCTAAAACTACCACCATTATTAACTGCTCATTTAATCATTTAAAGAAAAATATAAGCAGGATAAAAATGTAAATATATATTAACATTCATCTTAACATTTAAAAATAAACATAAAAGAATAAAATTATTAATATTTCTTACTTCCAATTTGACTTTAAATACTCTTTATTATTTGGAGGTGAAAATTTTCAACACAACACGAGAAATTTATGCTTGGGTTGACCTGTTGACAAAAACTAACTTGAAAAAATTTGTGTCCTGTTGCGTGTCAACCCACGAATTGACTCGTATTAATTTTCTTACAAAATATTTGCATCGTGTCATGCCGACCCGTATAATAAGTAACACATTTTGAGATTGACAAATTATTTGTATCGTATCACGTCAACTCACATAATAAGAGATATGCTATAAGTTTGCGAGCTATTCATATCGTGTCGTGTTAACAAATAAAATAAATGGATCGTTTTCGTGTTAAATGTTTTAACCCAATTTCAAATTCGTGTCGTATTATGTCAGTGCCACTTCTAATTATTATCTATATTTTTTCTTAACATTCTAATATAAGAATTTAAAAAAAAAAAACACATTTTGATATGCATGTAATGCCCATCTATTATATAATATTACTCTTTTAAGATTTAAGGATATAAACATAAAAATATTAATTCTTTCTGTCAAATTCTTTTTCATCTTTAAATACTTTTCAACTTATCAATAGATGGCCCTCGTTCTCTCCCTTGTACCACTCTTCTCCTTGTGGAACTTTGGTCCCGCTCTTGTTTTGGTGTTTTTTCTAATGGGAGGTTGCCGCTTGTATCAATCAATATCAGGCTTCTCTCTCTCTCTCTCTATCTGTTTTTTTTTTTTTTTTTTTTTATTTTGCAATTTTTGAAATAAATTTATCTAGATCTTTTGGATTTAATCTGAAAAATATAATTTTTTTTATACCAATCGGTGTTTGAATTTCTAATGATTAATCCGATTTCGGTTTGTGTTTATATGATTAGATATATATGCTTCGTATTTAGTGGCGGACGCAAGAATTTTAATGACGGGAGACGGAATAAAAAATATTATATTATAAACAAAAATATTTAAAATATAATACAGACCTAATATAAAATAATTTAAAAGAAATTTATTACAAAAATTAAGATCACTTCATTTGACTCTTATTTTACGTATTTTCTTATTGTTAAACTCTTATATAATTGAATCCGTGTTAAAACTCAAAATAATTTCTTTTTTAATGTATGTAATCAAAGAATCATCAAGAAATTAGTCTTCTATTTTATTTCGAAGCTTGTTCTTGATTTTATTTTACGCATGCGGATCCTAACTTTTTTCTTTCTTTTTAAATGTCAGAATCCGCATGTGTAAATATGTTTGCTACAAAAAAATTCATATGCTATTGCTGCAGAAGAGAAGAACCCATAAATAAATCATGTTATCCATTATAAATAAATTAGATACCCACAAAGTTATATGTGTCATTTCATTCTTTTTATAGCTAGAATTGTTGGAAATTTAAAGAGATTAAAAATAATTTAGAAAAACACACTACAATTTTTTAATCTAATCACGTGTTTGGTAGTTGGTGAAAAAATAATTTCCTAAAAAAATAATCTAATCACGTAATATTATTAAAATACTTATATATATATATATATATATATATATATATATATATAATTTTTTCTATCAAATTTTAGGGGGCGGGGCCCACCCTAGCCCCCCTCTAGGTCCGCGCCTGTTCCTATTATGATAAATATGAAACTTTTAGGGCTCGTTTGGTGGACAGGATAAGATAAGGATATGATATGATACGAGGCTGATAAGAGTAGGATTATGATATGGGGCTGATAAGTCGATATCATATCATGTGTTTGATGAACACTTGATTAACAATCTGATAAGATTATGTAGAAGAAGAAAGAAAAAACAAAAAACAAAATATAATGCAATAAATACAAATATATTGGATAGCATGGGGATATATTGGATAACATGGGAATATATTGGGTATCTAATATTAGTATCATATCCTATTGAATCCTAACCCAACTTCCCCTATAGCATAAGAAATCATGTATTAGATAGGATAAAATGAGACAATAGGATAAGCTAATCATATCTTATTGACCCACCAAATAAAAAATAAAAATAAAATATGATAAGTTATCCTATCCTATCTTCTTTATCAGGTGCTCCAAATATGGCCTTACTTTTTGTCATTTCAAGCATGCGGGGGTTGTAACTTGTAAGACCTGAAGATTTACCGATATAAGAAACGTGATATGCTCTTCAAATGACATCACGTTATCACGTTATGTATATTCGTCATTGATATTCTACAAAATCAGGAACAAAGTTACACATCATGGGTTAGTATTAGGTGTTTTTTGTATTATGTTTTCTCTGTCGATAGATTTATAGTATTTTTAAAAAAAAAAATGTAATTGTAAGTGTTCTCAGCTTCTACTCAAATAAATTTTGATTTTTCCAAAAAATAAAAATTGATAGATAAATGGTGCTGGTCAAAAAATATACTTCCATCATCAATTTTTTTTAAAATTTATCTTCGGATTAATTTTTGTTTAATTTAGTTCTCTAAATTATTAAGTTAACATCGCATCTTTTTGAAAAGTAGCTCCGTTAATATATTAGTTCTCTAAATTATTAAGTTAACATCGCATCTTTTTGAAAAGTAGCTCCGTTAATATATCTTAAATAACAAAGCATCATCATTAATAATTTAATGAAATTAGCCTTAAAAATGTTATAATCATTTAATAACTGACATAAATAATTAAAATTTGAGTCAAAAAGAGAGAGAATTAGAAGTGGAATATATATATATATATATATATATATATATATACGAGGTAGGATCCTTTGACACTAGTGTCAAATTTCAAATTTGACACCTCATCTGAGAGCCGTTAGATCAAAAAACATCAACGATTCTCATTTGTAAGCATGTGACACCATTGATTTTTTTTTTATCTAACGACTCTCAGATAATATGTCAAAGTTCAAATTTGACACTGGTGTCAAAGGATACTACCCCTATATATATATATATATATATATATATATATATTGCTTTGGGTTCATTATGTAAACAAATCATGGCAATAAAAGAAAAATGATTCATACAATATACATTTTTCATTTAAAGGGTTAATCTAGTTTTTAGTTTCTTTAATTTTTGGGTTGAACAAATTTAAGGGAATGATTGCTCGAATTAAAAGTGTAAGAAGGTGAATTATACTTGACCTTCAATTAAGTGAACTAAAAGTATTATATAATCTAACTTCAAACTCATTAAAAAAACTGAAAATTACTAAGCACAATAAAAGAAACGGGAAGGTTATACTTACAATCTATTTTTGTTAATAACTATACCTTAACCGTTGATTTTCGTCAATTAACGGTTGTTATTTTCGCAAATCAAATTTATTAATTAATATTTAATTTACAATAAATGATAACCGTTGATTGACGGATATCAAATGTTAAGATATGATTGTAAAATGGTGTAAACAAAAATAGGTTGTAAAAATAATATTTTCCTAAAAGAAATAGTGTAACTATTTTGTAAAAACCATTAAATTATAACAGTTAGAGATATATTGCATTACATATAATCACTATTTTGAAATTAGAACCTAAAAAATATTTTAATTTGAAAATATGGACTCATAGCAATTAAGAAAAGTTATAATTTCAATTCTGTTGTCATTACATTAATAAATAGGCAAAAGTGCAAATCACAACCACATAAACAAATATATGTTAGGAAATAATTAATATTTTGTTTATAAAACATTTTAAAATTTAAAAAATATTTGATGATCATAAAATAAATACATTTAATACAAAACAATACTGTCCCCTTCATACATCTCAACTGATAAAATTACGAAACATTTAATGTAAGTATACAAATTTAAATCTACTCCTTGGATCAATTTAGTAAACCCAGGAATTAAATTTTCATTTTGCATCTTGCACAAAATTCCAAAACGCACACACACACACGTACAAAAACAACAACAATAATGTTATCTTTGTGTGGCAAATGAGTATTTTCACAAAACATCAACACAGACACCAGAGTCAAATTTACATAGAAGTATCACATGCCTTAGATCTGTCTCACACGGCATTCACATTCAGACATTCCAGAGTGTCTGCTCTCACTCTTCCATAGTTCCACCCAGAAAACCTTCACTTCCAAATTCTCTGGCATCTCTTCCCTCACTCCTATGTCCATTTCTGCTCCAATAATTGAAAACTTTTGCCACCAGCTTGGGTTCCACACCACAAAGTACCCTTGAACATGCTTCTATTTGTCCTATATCCACATGGGAATATTATTTTCCAAAAAAAAGTCATTTTTCTATGAAAATGAACTCTTTTCAATCTCTCTCATGAGACCCAGATCCTAATTTCCATTTTCTTGCATCCCCATTATCTCAATTATCTGAAACTTTTTATGTGTGATTGAGTCCACTTGGTACTCAGATACAAAGAGATCAGGTTTTTTCAGGGAATGAAACTTAGCCCCATGTTGATATTAGTTCTTGGAATAGCTTCAGCTACATTTTTAGTGATTGTTGCACTTTATGTGTTCTTTTACTTGAAAAGAGTATCAAAACATGAGAGTAAAGACATAGAAAGCTCAGAAAAGAAGCAGGAAGAGGTAGCTCAGAAGGAGGACTTGATCATCTTTCAAGGTGGGGAGGACCTAACAATATGTGACATATTGGATGCTCCAGGGGAAGTGATTGGAAAATCCAATTATGGAACTTTGTATAAGGCTTTGTTGCAGAGGAGCAACAAAGTAAGGCTGCTGAGGTTTCTGAGACCAGTTTGCACTGTAAGAGCTGAAGAATTGGATGAAATGATTCAGTTTCTTGGAAGGATAAGGCATCCCAAGTTGGTTCCTCTTCTGGGATTTTACACTGGGTCAAGGGGTGAGAAGCTTCTTGTTCATCCTTTCTATAGGCATGGGAGTCTGACTCAATTCATAAGAGGTAATGATTCTCTTGCCTGTTGGTTGCTCTCTGGATTCTATTATTTGGTTTCCCAGGAAATTTCTGTTTTTTCTTTCTTTGTGAAAGTTCATTTGTTTTTGTGTCCTGATTTTATCAATATAATGATTTAGCTTGATCTCTAATAAATTTGAAAATCATTCACTTGATACATGTTAGATATTAACTAGGAGATGAAGAATGTTGAATTGTGGGGGTTTGGGAATTAACCATGAAACATTGCTGAAGAAGCATCAGTTTTTGTGTTAACTGTTAATCTTAGTAGTTACTTAATACACAAGTGAATGATATTTTGTACAACAAAAAAGTTATGTCATTTTTATACTGTGGAGAGAATGTTTGTTGGAATATGTATTATTATTGTTTTATTATTTAAAAAGGAAGTAGTGCAAGAATGCTTTTAAGTTTTTTTATGTGCAAATATTATTTTTGGTTCCTCAATGCTTAACATTTGTTTACTTTTCTTTTTTAGTAGTAGAAAGCTAAATACTACTATTTCTTTCTTCTGCTTTTTTATTTACAATTTCCATGCTGATATTAATACTACTCAATGTTATAATCTTACATTTTGGTCATTTTGATGGCATTAGTATTCATTCATCCATTTATGTTACTTTAAATGGACTTGGAAATAATGAAATCTCCATTAAGAAGGGTTAGTGCTCAAGTAGTTAGGCAGCAGATTTCGAACCTAGCTATTTGAATCATCAGCCCATATTCTTCCCACCTTAAAGAGTGGCTTTTATTTTGAATTTTATGTTTTGTTATTGATCAAGGATGTTCACTTAGCAGATGGAAATGGAGAATGTTACAAATGGTCTAACATATGTAGAATATCCATTGGTATAGCCAAAGGATTAGAGCATCTTCACACAGGACAAGAGAAGCCTATTATCCATGGAAACCTCAAGTCTAAGAACATCCTTTTGGACCGCTCCTACCAACCATACATCTCAGATTCCGGCCTCCATCTTCTGCTGAATCCGACCGCGGGCCAAGAAATGCTTGAAAGTTCAGCTGCTCAGGGTTATAAGGCACCTGAGCTTATCAAAATGAAGGATGTTAGTGAAGAGAGTGATATATATAGCCTTGGTGTAATCTTGTTGGAATTACTTTCAGGAAAGGAACCTATCAATGAGCATCCAACTCCTGATGAAGATTTCTATTTGCCAAATTTCATGAGAAATGCTGTCCTCGGACACAGAATTTCTGATTTATACCATCCATCCTTTCTTCTCAGAAACGGCAGAGATGATAAAATTCAAGTTACAGAAGAATGCATTCTCAAATTTTTCCAAATTTCTATGGCTTGTTGCTCCCCTTCACCTTCAGTTAGACCTAACATAAAGCAAGTCCTCAGAAAGCTTGAAGAAATTGTACTCTAGAAGACATGGGGGCTTGTAAGAAATTTGTCTGTGTAGTGGAAGATATTGGACACTTTGGCAGTAGTGATACTGAACACATTTAATTCTTCAAGTTCATCATAAACAATGATGTGGTTGAAGACAACAACATTTATATATGAGAAGTTACAAAAAAAAGAAGTAAATGTTCTGCTTACAAAATGTGGTATTAGCTACCAAAAACAAAGACTTCAGGAAAGTTGATGTAGATGTTAAGGTTTAAAGTCAAATGAGGAATTATAGCTTGAAACTCTAGCTGCCTATAGATCTGGCTTCCAAATTACTGACTTTGATTTTGAGATTATGCTTGGTAAAACAAGTGAGCATGTGACATGGATAGTGACAAAAGGAATTTCTGTGATGTCACCCATTCTAATATTATTCTTGTCATAGCTTGCCTAACTTGCATAATTGCATAGTTTTGATGGGAGGTTATGAAGATTCTTTAACTATCAAGAATATGCTACCCAAGAATTTGTAGCTTGTCTCTAAGTTTTGCTGTTATGGAAAGACAGAATCTGTGATGAAAAATGCTCTTTATCAACAGTGACACTGTCAATTTCCATGTTATAGCACAAGAATTGAAGCTGCAAAAGTGCAAAGGAATCTGAATAACTATGTAAGCCAGGAATTGGGATCATTTGGTCTCAGAGTTTGAACCATCACTAGTATGCACTACAAGAATCTCAGAGCAATTCTATTTTAGTGTGTCCTTTATTTACTTGAGATAATTTTGCAGTTCTTTATTTACTTGAGACCATAGTTTTCCAGTGGCAGTATTGTAATCTTCATTTGATAAAATATTAGTTTTCAGTTATATGGAACCTTATGGTCTAACAAACATTTTTATTCCATCAATTCCGAGGATTCTGATGTTGCACGTTTATCAAATAGATAATTAGATTATCAACTACCGTTGCCATTTTTTTATTTCTCATTGATAACTTTTAGCTGGTGGAAGGTGGTGGTTGGAAAATTGGTGTCGGAAGGTCTTCTAAGTCATTGCTGGTACATCACTATCTAATTAAGAACTAACCAAAGTGGGTTTATATTATTATTAACCTCTAAATGAAAAAGACCACAATAATAGTTATGATTGCAACTTTAGTCCAACCAATCTTTCCTTTAGAAAATTTGATTGTCACTTTGGTCAAGGACCAATCAACCGTAATTTCGCCATACTCATTGGGAACATGTGGGGGCAAAAGGACTAGGTGGGAAAACATACATTATACAACCTTATGCTTCCCGCTTTTCCCTTTATTTATATATATATATATATATATATATATATATATATATATATATATATATATATAGCTTTGTGCCTTGACCTTCTACAGAAGCATGAGTAGCAACATAAACTTTATCTTAATGTAATTTCAGTTCCTATATAGAAGATGAAGGCTGCTAGTTAATAAATGACGTTTGATTAAACTTATCATCACTATTCTTCTTTTTTTGTCATGGGGGAAGGATTGAATTTGCATAACCACCATTGAACTTAAGGGGCACACTCAATACTATTCTTACAATACTTGTAATACTATGGTTGTACGCTTTGCACCAATACTATTGTATTTTATATCTTCCTTCCTTTCTTTTTATGTTTGACATTGTTTACAAATAACGTGTTTGATTCTAGAGAATTGTGATCGATGTAAAATCTGTACGCTTGAGGAGTTTATGAGTAAAAATTAGAAGGTGTGTACATGTGAAATTTAACCATTTATTTAAAGAAGAGATTTATGGGAAGCTATGTGAGTTTGAGTAGGAGTTAAACTCTCAATAGATATGTAAGTTAAAGGATGAGATTCTGTTGCCTTTTATAAGTTGTGGGGCCCATGAAATGGGTCAAAAATAATAATGTATTTTACAAATCAAAAATGTAATTTTAAGATTATGAAAAGAAAAAAAAATGGTGAGAAGATGATGCTGATTTTGTTGATGTTCCCAAAATAAATTCCCTTGATCTTTCTACTTTTTGGTGGATGTATTAGAGTATAATCTTACTCAATTTCTTAACCATAATTATGCTGGAGTGTTCCTTAAGTTTTATTTTTAATCCTTTTTGTGTGTGGTCTTCTTAAGGTTTGAAAGCAAAGAAAAAGTCCAAAGAAAATATGTAGTAGTACTTCTTTACGTAATTAACATCATTGCATTTTCTTAATTCATTGGGAGTCTCAAAGCCAGTAAAATCTCATGCATGTTGCTCAACTCTTTATTGAATGATGAACATTATGCTTTATATGTCCTTATCTAACACGTTATATTATGATTGCAATATAAAGTCAAGCTTTCAATGATAATCGTTTTCTCATTAAAAAAAATATGTTTATCATGTTGCATAAAATAAATTGTCTCATATAACCCACACAAAAATGGATGAGAATTATTTTTTTCTTTCTCTTTTCTTTTTATTAAATTTCACATATTTTGTTATATATTATATTTCATACAACATGAAAAATATACCCTTCAAATACCGGAAATCAGTTATTTTTAGTGTTGAAATGACCACCAACCAAACCTTCCCCCCATACAAATGATAGGGAAGACGAAATGGCTCAAAGTCTAGACCCATATGAATCGAATGACAATAAATTATCCCCAACGACCCCACTGTCGCCAACTATGTTTCAATTAAGAAATGCATAACAGTTAAAAAAAAAGGGTAAATTACAATTTAGCACCCTATGCTTGGATCTTTATTAAAAAAATCACCTTCAAACAATAAACCTACTCATACTATATGATTGTAACAATTAGGCATATTTGTTAAATTTCCATCCAATCCCGTTGAGTTATTGCATGATGCAAGTTGGAAAACTTCTTTACTAGAAATAGGGTAACGAAGGTTACACCATTACGTTCTTCTCTCCCATTTCCATCCTCTTTCTTCTCCCTGGGAGCTTCTCGCATTCGTTCTAGACCCCTCCCTTTGACACGCTCTTGGTTTTGCTCTATTTCCAAATTGCTCAATGAAGCTCTTCCATGAGGAGATGGCTTTACCCCTTCTACACTTTTTATTAAGGGTTTTATAAGAGTTATATTGTAGAATAAGTAATTGTGTAATGTTATAGAAATTCGTTTTGAGTGCCGCAATTTTTTCTTTTTCTTTTTTCTTCAAAAAGTGTGGACCCCACAAAATGTTGTGTGTAGGAAAGTTTGTTGTGTCATGTTAAATGACAAATGCAAATTCCTTTTATTAATTATTTGCTACAAGCTTTGTTAGCTTCCAAACAAGGCTTTGTTTGGGAGTTGGTTTTAGGAGGGGAAGGAAAGGAAAGGAAATAGAGGGTTTTAGTAAGCTCTTCCCTTGTTTGTGAGTTTAAAGAAAGGAGAGGAAGAATTTGGAGATTTTTACTAAACCCTCCAAAATTCTCCTTCTTTTTAAAATTAAAGTTCCCCCAATTTGGAGGGTTTGAGGAGAAAAATATTAAAAATTACTTGTCTACCCTTAACATTAAAATGTTAAAACTACATAATTGTGAATCATTTTTAGAAAAGTCTCAAATACCGACAAAATTTATTGACGAAAAATATTTCGTCAAAAATAGTGATAAATTTTTTGATGAAAATCATATACGTCAAAAAATTTATGTAAAAACTAAAGACGAAATTAGAGACGGAACCAGATTTTTCCATAATCACTAACATAAATTTTGTACGAAAAAAAAATTCAGTCAAAATTATTGATAGAATATAAATTCTGTCGAAACTTTTAACGAAAATATTTCCGTCCAAAATTTTGACGAAACACATTTCCATTTTTGTCAAAATTCTTTACCAAATCTAAATTTTGCCAAAATATTTCACAAAAAACATATTCATCGAAATTTTTGACGAAAAATATTTCCATCAAAATTTTCAACAAAACACATTTCTATCAAAAATTGTTGACAAAAAAACATGTCATCAAAATTCTTAACAGTGAATCATTTTATACTGTGTAACTTACACTTTAATTTTAATTGTTGATTTTGTTTATATCTAACGACTCTAATTTATTAAATTTGTGAGCTGTTAGAGACAAGTAAATTAATAGTCAATATTTGGTGTAAGGCTTGTTACTATTATATCAATATAATAATAAAATGCCACATATATATATATTGTTATGATTCCTCACAATTAATGCTTTCATCCTTTGTATCGTTATGATTCCTCTCATTTAATGCTTTCAGTTATATATGGCAAGTATTTGATTGCTGCACATACAACAGCTGCAGAAATGTAAACCCCTGTATATATAGGAAAAAAATGAAAATAAAGTGACTGGACGGTCCAGTGCACTAAGTTCTCCCGCGAGAACATAGTGCAAAAAATATTACAATGGTGTTCTCCCGGGAGAACATAGTTATAATTTTTACTATACTGTGTTCTCGCGGGAGAACATAGTGTACTGGACCGATTTTTACATCCAGTCACTGTACACTTACTAAACCCATATATATATATATATATATGGCTTATTGTTTCTCAAACTGCTTGAGATAATTTTATATACGGTTACTAAATCATAACCGTACAAAGATGGATCAATGGTGATAAAGGAAGAGAGAAAAAGGGAATCATAACCATTCAAAAGTGAATCAATTAATATAAGGAAATAAATAAACAAAACGACGTAGTTTTGGGCAATGTTTTAAAACCCTGCCCCACCCCCTAGGTTGACCCGGGTCAACCCTGACCCCTCCCCTCTGAGGGTTGGGGTCACAAGTTGGACCTTGTATGCATATCGGCCCCTCCGACCCGCAAAACCTAGCCGGGTTTCAATGACTCCCGGGTCAGAGGGGTCAAAGGGGGTCACTGCATATTTTTTTTTTAAAAAATTCCATGAAACAACATTGTTTTATTAAAAAAATAAAATAAAAATACTTACAAACCTAAATCTAATAGTTCTTTTCTCTCCTAGCGACCTAGACATTTTCAATCTCACCTCGCTGCTATGAATCTTCTAGAAATGGTAAGAATTTTACCCATTCAAGTGAAATCCTTACGGTCGTTGATAGAAAACAAAAACTCATTCTTACTTCTTTAAATTTTTCTTTGTCAGAGACCTTCTCAAAAGAGGTAGAATCGGGTCAGCGTAGTGACCCCATTAGAATATGAGTTTTGTACTTTGGTATCTTGATACTTTAATTAGGTTGTGTAATATTGACTTGTGGTTGTAATTGGTGAATTAAATTAAGTATCTTTTGAATCTTCGATGATTGATTGTTTGTTTTTTAATATTTTCATATATATATATATATAGGGATAGGATATTGTGACACCCAAGTTATGTTACACCCATGTGACACCCAGTTAATCTCACCGTTAGATCGCTTATGTTGATCCAACGGTTATATTTATTTCCATCTTTGTATGGTCATGATTTCCCAAATTTAATATTTTATATTTATTTCTACCTTTGTATGGTTATGATTTCCCATATTTAATGCTTTCACTTTAAATTTAGGAAATCATGACCATACAAAGATGAAAATAAATATAACCGTTGGATCAACATAAGCGATCTAACGGTGAGATTGACTGGGTGTCACATGGGTGTAACATAACTTGGGTGTCACAATATCCTATCCCATATATATATGGGGTAGGATCTTCTTACACCGGTGTAAGAGTAATAATTCTTACACTCAATCTTAACCGTTGATTTTCACATATCTAACGGTTATAATTAATAATTAATTAGTGAGAATAATGTAATTAATTACAGTCGTTTGATGAACAAAAATCAATGGTTAAGATTGAGTCTAAGAGTCTCTTACACTGGTATAAGTTGATCCT